TTGCAGTTTCCACTAAGAATCATAATCTCCTCATGTTTTGGGACCTGTCACCAGCTACACTGCTTGAGACCCATATTCTCCAGCACCTATCCACATTTCTAATTAGATGCCTACTAGTCTTTTAGGATATGATTTCAGGATGGAACGAAACATTCCTTTTTTGTTCTGACAGCCATCCTTCTATGATTGCCCACATTATAGCACTTATTACTGTGTTGTTATAATTGTGGGGTTTTTTTTTAGATTTATTTATTTATTCCTATAAGAACCAGGGTATAGGCCAGATGTGCAGGAGGGTGAGAGGATTCACCATAGACAGAGTGGGGAACAGAACAGGCAGACTGACGAAATATACTGCTGAGGGGAGCAGCTGGCGTGACGGGAGAGGTCCCTCACCGGCTGGCCGGGATCGAACCAGCACTGCAGAGGCTGCGGACAGCTTCACAGCGCGGTGTTCAACCACCTGCGCCACCAGGGGAGGCCCTATAATTGTTCTAACTTAGCTGACTTGACGTAGATTTTTAATTTCATAAGCAACAACCTTCATTTTTAGTAGCCTTACATCCTTAATCACTAGTATTCGTGCATTTTTAAAGCTCCAGTAACTATGTTGAATGAATGATAGTATGGTCAGTAATTCTGGGAAACATCTAAATTCCAAGTTCAGGTGAAAGAAAAAAAACTATTTGAATTTTAAACTATCTGATTCTTACGTGTGTTCATAAAGTATTAAAATTGTTTGAATAGTTTAACCAAGAATCCAGAAGAGGATTAAGAAAACAAAAATTGTTCCAGTTGCTTATCTTAATTAAAAAGGGGGAAGCTGGAGACATGCAAAGTAAAACATGAAACTTAAAAGAAAATGGGTGAGGAACATCAAAGCCAACATTTAGGACATGCCTATATAATCTTGTAACATCTAAGTGTTATTATTTTATTAAATTTGGAATCTGAGTTATTTTAGAGCAGTTATATTTAAATTATTTAAAACATTTAAATGGTGAAATTTTACTTAAACCTTTTTTCTTGGGTTATGTAAGTGACAGTAGAATTTGACTAAGGAAGTGCTAGCAGTTGTATTTATGTGTGTAATGTAAGGCTTTTGTTAGGAATACTAAGGAATAGACAAGCAAATTTATGTATCAGCATGTTTTCCATTTTTGTAATCTAGAGTTGTTTTATATGTTTAGAACTACTTAAACTTTAAGTGAAAGAAATTTTTTTGTTAGTGTGTAAAACAAAATATAATATACCTGTGTTCTGATAGCCAAAAGGGAGGCAGATTGATCTTGAAGTTAACTAAGGAAAAACTAAATGTTTATCTTTAAATTTTGAAGTTTCTAATGTAAACACTGAGGGGAGAAATAGAGTTCTCTTCATAGTAAGGTAATTTGAGACTGAACATCTCATTTTGTAAAGATTGAGAGTTGAACTTTCCTTTCAGGAACAAGTTTTAACTTTCTTCAGATTCTAGTTTACATTTTCTTACAACTCCCCTTGATCAATTAGTTGTTGTCACTAAAAAGCATATTTTAACAGTTTTCAAGACAAATTCCTGCTTTTCGATATTGGAAAATTTGTTGAAACAGATACCAGTATTCAAACCTTGAAAGTGATAATGGGATTTCAGGTGCAAGATTTTGGTGATTCTTTAGAACAGGAACAAAGGGTAAGCAAGGTAGTATAAAGAATTCTTAAAGGTTAAAAAAAAAAAGAATTCTTAAGGATTCCAATAATCTATCTGTTGGAGCCTGTTTGGAACCTCTTATTCTTTGAACAGAATTGATTTCTAGAAATAAGGTTAAGTTCAACACTGAAATTACTGGATAGTATATTCAAGTTGATGTTCCCATAAACAGTGAACATCAAGCAGTAGAATTGTTGCAGTTTGATTTTCTTAAATATGAATGTCGACATGATTATTGAACAATTTTCTTATGTAACTGAAGCTTGAAATTAATACTCTTAAGACCTAATGGTATTTTGGTAGAAATGTGACTAACTATACTTTTATCTGTATCCACAAGGTTATAAGTATCACAGAGATTATGTAGAGATTATGTTTCACATTGGCACTGTGAACATTTACTTGTGCAGGAAAAGAATCAGTGGGTGATTATATGTTCACAATTAAAGACTAGTTGATTTTAGGATTTGGGTTAAAAAAAAAGAGTCATAAGAAATGTGAAGTCTGTATGTTATCTTATTAGATATTCCCTAAGTTTGTTTTTGTCTTTGGATATGATTTCTTTCTGAGAAGAAATTTTCCTGAAAGTGTGTTTTAGTCATTCAGCTTTTTTGAATATCTTCTAGCAATATAGATAGAAATATTAGTGTGCTAGGAATAAAGATAATACAGATGACATGATTCTTTCCCTCTAGGAAATCAGTCATATTGGTAGACTGACAACGTTTTTGTTTGTTATATGCAAAGAATGAATTCTTAATCTAGTTACTCTTCCTTTTTTACATTAGTGAGATGGCTCTTATCCAAAGTTATCAGTAACCTCATTTTCAAGTTAAGTGAGTTAAGCCAGTCCTGGTTTTCCTTCCTCCTCACCAGCAGATCTTTCTCACTCTTTTCAGTAACCTTTAAGTAATGGCATGCTCCAGGGCTCTGTCTCGTTCCCCTCTTACCTATGCTTTCTTTGAGAATCTAGTCCTCTTCCAGTACAATCCATATGCTTATGATTCCTCAATCTTTGGCACTAGCCAACCCCAGGAACTCTGGATTCCTGTATTTAACCACTGAACATCTTTTCTTGAATAGCTAATAGTTACCTCAAGCTCAACATGTTTAAAGCTGTTTTTGATTTTTGATATGGCCCTCATCACCCAATTTTTCCCCACCATTGTTCTCTGTTTCCCTAGCCATTGAATTGCTCAAGTCAGAAACCTAGGAGTTATTTTTGGTCTCTTTCTTTCTCACATCACATCCAGTCTATCAGCAGTGTCCTTCAAAGCATATTCTGAATTTTTATTTGTCACTGTCCGTACCATCTAAATTCAGTATTTTCTTTCTTTTCATGGGCTCTTGTAGTATCTCTTTACTAGTTTTCTTATTTTCACTCCTCTTAGCAGTAAGAGCTATCTTTAAAACACAAATCAGGTCAGGTCACTTGCCTGTGTAAAAACCCTCCAGTGGCTTCCCATCATGCCTAAAATAACATCCAAACTTCTTACTTTGGCTGGGTCCCACATGATCTGGCCCCTGCCTGCCTCCCTGACCTGGTTTCTATCACTCATTCCCTGGTCCACTACCTCATTTCATTGTAGTTCACATACCTTCTTTTTGTTCCTGCGAATAACCAAGTTCATCTCTATTTTAGGGCCTACCCCTTTGCCTAGAATTTATACCCTCAACATACCACATGCCAAAGACTGTTCTAAGAATTGAGGATAAAGCAATGAATAAGACACAAGGACAGACTCTGAGGCATTTTTCTTATTTTTATATCTACTTTTTATATCTACTGAGTTTCTTGAATATGTTCCCTAAAATACTTTCTCTGAAACATCTTTATTTCCTCTTTTTTGATGTCACAGTTTACATAATTCATCTAATTTCTACCTTGAAGAAGTTGAATTCTAGTTGAAGGTTTGGTGGAGTGAAGATTGCAACAAGATGAGTAAAATGTATGTTAGATACTAATAAGTGCTAAGGAGAAAACAAAGCAGTGAAACACTGAGGTTTAGGACTAGTGCTATAATTTCAGGGTAGGGTATTCAGGACAGACCTCTGGGAAGGTGACATTTGAATAATCATTATCATCATCATCTTGTGTTCCAGGAAGAGAAACCACAAATACAAAAGTCATGAGGTGAGAGCATGTTTGGAGACTAGTTAATGGTCCAGTGTGGATGGAAGAGAAGTAAATAGGGAAGGATGAAAGATGAGGACTCTCTAAACTTCTGAGTGATAGTGAAGTCAGATCTCTTTAAGCCTTGTATAAAAGTTAGTGGTTCTCAGCTTGACCGTATGTTGGAATTACCTGAAGAGCTTTAAAAAATACTGATATGTGCATCAGTGACACTCCCAGAGATTGACTGAATCTGGGATATAAGGTATGCTATAAAAACTCCCCATCTGACTCTAAGATGCTTCTAATGTTGAGAACTAGTTCTTTGTTAGGATCTTTGTCTTTTTCTTTGTTGGGGGCGGGTGGCAGGAGAAATCATTGGAGTGTTTTGTCATATAAAATACATAATTTTGTGTTTAATTAGCTTTAAAAACTGAATTTTCATCAACTAAATCTAAGTATGACAACTGTAAGACTACAGTAATGCTCTGGTCTCAAATTACTTGAAGTAGGTTGTGCTGTAACTCATGTATTTGTGTCGACATAGAATAAAGATGGACACTTTTTATAGCTTCCTTTTTCTGTATCCATAAATCTGTATTTCTTCTGATTCTGAGCTTTTAGTTTAATAGAGCTTGAAATACAGTGCTGTATGAAGATTTTAGCTAAAATGTTTGCATTTGTCTGTCTAAACCTAGTGACTGACAAAGCAAAATTGTATGTAATTTTATTTTTCTTTTTGGGATGTAAAATGTCCCTTTATATCTTCTTGAAACATTGTAATTTACATTTTTTTTTTTACCAATTTCTTGTAAGACTTCAAGTGCTATGCATAGTAATTGGCCTTTATTATAAGACAGGAGGAGTTTTGTTCTATATATTGTCAGAAGATCTGTTGAAAATGGACTAAAACTCATTGAGCATAAATCCCACTGAAGAGATTTCTTTGACATGTGTAGAAAAATGTCTTTAATTTATTTGTAATTTGCCTTTAATTTGTTGAGGTACGTTTAAGTAACTTGTATTTTTCCCTCTTTTTTTTTTTTTTTTTTTTTTGCTGCGTTCCAATGGATTTGGCTCTCCTGTTTGGACTGAATGTGTAATGTACAATTCTTGGAATTCCTCGATTACTGTTCCTCTGTGGATCTGTTCTGTTGGAATCTGGAACACTGGAATGATGGAAATGTGTTCTTTACAAAGTAGCTGTGAGTATACTAGTTAATTTATACAGAAACATTTTTTCAGTCCAAGTTAACATAACTTTAACTTAACAGTTGGATGAAATATGAACCAAGGAAGCCTTACATTTAATATGTAGATTTTTTTAGCTCTACAAATAGTAAGGCTTTCAAATATTTGATTTTAAAATAGTATATTCTGATTAGTATCCTAATTAGTATTTTTAAAATTAGCTTTTCAATTTAATTGGCTTGCTTAATTTTTCAACATTTGGCCTAAAAATTAGTTTACATGAAGGAGAACAAAGGGTGAAAGGTTATGGATAGAATATTCAGTTACATATATAATACTAGTGAGGAATATAAACTTCTGTTTTTTGTTAAATCCAAATGTGTTGAACTGATGCTTTGATCTCATATGAGTTTTTTAATAATAATTTAAATGTGGCAAAAACTTATAAAAGAAATGTGTACCTCAGGAATATTTTGCCATTATAATGATGAATAAGACCCACTTCTAAGTAAAATTAACCAATAAGACTCTACTCACTCAGATGGTCTGAACTATGGACAGTTTTTCTCACCAATGGGTAAGTTAAAAATCAGACTTTTTACTACACCAATTTAGAAGTAAGTTTCTTTAAATTACTCATGAAACTACAGCTGAGGTTATTAAAGAATCTAAAACCAAACAGAAAACTGAATTATAATATGTTTTAAAACCTGGATAAATCTGATGTCCCCAGTGACAGGAGCAGCAGGATCTTATGAAACATTAAAATGACATAAATTGAACCTTGTACAACAACTTGAAAGATAGTGTTTACTAATTGATGTTGATTATAAGACTATTCAAGAATTTATGAAAAAATTGCATTAATAAACTTAGCATTTTGACTTCATAAAATGAAGACAATTTTTAAGACACTCACCTGTGGTAACTAGTGTGAGCAAAGAGATCAATTGAAAGCATTCTTAATAATTTAGGGGGATTTAAAATTTTTTTATTGTGAAAAATCATTTGTTTTTCTTAGTTGGTGGGTTAGAATGTTAGTGCTGTTAACTTATGTAAATTAAAATCTTTGCTCTGAGACTGGTGTCTTTAATTTTTGTTTTATTCCCTTGGTTTTTTGTAATAGGCCGTTATGCTGTTGACTCATGCTCATTTCAATACTTTAAAATACTTTAAATTATTGGCAATATTATAAAAGTAGTTTGATTTGTCATGAATTATATAGTTTTCTGAAATAGATTAATGAAGAGAATTTGAAATGTGTCAGAGAAGTTTTGTTGATAAGTGAGTAATTTGGCTCTTTTTATTTTTCTCAGCAACAGAAGAACCTTGAAGGCTATGTGGGATTTGCAAATCTCCCAAATCAAGTATACAGAAAATCAGTGAAGAGAGGGTTTGAATTCACACTTATGGTTGTGGGTAAGATGTGATTTCTCACTAAAATTGAATGTGTTCTAAGTTTTAAGCTGTTAACTCAATGAATTTATGACAACAGTAGTCAAATAATGGCAATGATCACTTGTCATATTTTCTCTTACTATATGAATAAATTTTAAAATTTAACTTGGCATAATGAGGTTTATATATGTTATTGTTTTTTGTTTGTTTTTTAATGGTTGCCTAGTTTTGGAAACTAAGTAAAAATTGAAAGCGGTGAAGGACAGGGGCAGAATAGGCATAAAGTTCTCTTCAACTGATAATGGTACAAAAGGAAATAGCATCTGGTGGTTACTTATTACTCCCATGTGTATTCTCTGGTTTATGTATTGTAGTGAATTCAAATCACATGATGGGATAGAGAATCATAATCATATAAATGATTACCATGGACATTCAGTCACTGGGTGTAAGCCCTGGAGTGAGTGAAATATAGTTCTTGTTCTCTAGTGTGTTTGATCCTGTGAACATCTTACCCTGCTTATTGTTGATGTTAAGAGATTTTCAAGAGTTATTTTGATTGTAGGTTGGTAACATTATTATGTATGAAGAAGCACTATATATAAAATGGTTATCTTCTAAATTATAATCTTAAGTGGTTATTATATTTTTATTTCTTATTGCTGACCTTAGAATCTAAATCCTGAGTATGATGCAACTTTATTGTAATTTTTACTGTTTCTCTGTAAGGTGAAAAGCAGGATAGTGAGCTGGCTATCCTTGACAAAGAAAATTGATTTGATGTTTGGGTTTTTGCATTGTTGCATTGCTGTACCCAATTCTAGTGGGTATCGAGGCTTTCCCACACCAACAAACAGTTCTTGGACTCCAGCAGGGTGTCCAAGAATTCTGTAATGACATTATCTATATACCTGGAGATAGCATCAAGTTATATAGTTCAGGGCTCACTCAGTTTCCCAAGGTTGCCATCTGTTTCAAGTGCTGGTATCAAACCCAGGCTGTTACCTGTGTTTCTGACCAGTCACTGGCTGTGATGTGGGGGTTCTCTTAAACCCCACCTCAGACTTCAGGTACTCATCATGAGCCTAAATTATTATCTGTACTTCTTACCTATCGCTATTAATCAGAACATCCCAAGACACCTTCCTCAGATTTCTCTTAATTTGATAAAATGACACACAGAATTTAGGAAATCTTTTTAGTCACTACATCATCAATTCTTGTACAAAGGATACTACAGGATATGAATCAACAGCCTGATAAAGAGAAACATAGCATGGGGTCCCAGAACAAAGGAGCTACTTTTCTCATGAACTTGGGATATGGCAGAGCAGCACCTGGAAGCACTCTGAATCCAAACCTGGAAGCTCTTTGAAGCCTCTTCTTAATGTGCTTTTATGGTACTTCATTACTTAGGAATTCTTGATTAGATCATTGGCCATTGGTCATTGAGCTCCACCTCTAGCCTTTTTTCCATCCCAGAAAGCCATAGAAATCTTCTAGACATGTTTGTTTTCTAGCAGCCAGCCCCAATTTTTGTTTTCCAAAAGTCACCTTTGTTAATACAGACTTCTACAAATAATAAGATACCCATCTAAACTTTATAGCTGTAAGGGCAGGACAGGACACATGCAGACTGGGTAAAGGAGGAGTCAGAGTCCTCAGTGGCTTTTTGCAGGTCTTTTATTGGGGTTCACCAGGCATATGGCAGGCAGGGGTGCTGGGGGCCCGGGAGGCTGGCAGGCCTCCCAGCCCCCAGCAAATCCTCACTCTATCTGGGCTCTCTGGTGATCTCGGCTTCTCTTCGGCTTCTGCTGCTGCTTTCTCGGCTTCTCTTTCGGCTTCTTCTCAGCTTCATTCTGGCATCCCGGTGACGCCGCCCTTAAAAGCACAGTCTTAGCTCAGCTGAATCCTATCTACCTATGCCCACACCCTATTCCAGGTGCCCGCCATCAGGCATGCATTCAGGACAAGGATCCATCATCTATCCTGATGGCAGAAGGGCAGAAAAGCCTGACATTTTCTTTACCCTACAATAGCTCTGAAACTTTCTCTGGAACTGAGGACAAGATTCCAAATATTATGACAAAAGATTTTCAGCCCTTACCACTCAGGAAATTCCAAGGGTTTTGGTGTGCTGTGAGACTGGGAATGTGGAATTATTGCAACTTTTATGTAGTTATTAATGTTTGCTAATTACATTCAACTGAATTTTTAATTTTAGTGTTGTATTAGTTTAGCTATGAAGTACTCCTTAATCAAAGGGAGGACTATTTTATTAGTTGACCAGAATATTTTTACCTCAGTGAGTTTGTGGCTGTTTGAAAATATCCTCACTGTAATAGTTCACATAGTTAATATATGGCAGAAAGTCCACAAAGTTAATACCTGGTAGGTTTGGTTATTTGTCTGTTTATAGTTGGGTAGGTATATACCTAACCTGCAAATCCCTGCTCTAGAGATGAAGTGGGGTTGGATTGATAGATAAAGCATGCATAACTTACCTTTTCTTCTGTAGGTTGTTAACTTCATCACTATATGTGAAGGCATGCTACGTCTTATCTGTATGTATATATTAGTGATCTTAAATGACATTGTAGACATAGAACATCATTTTTTAATTTATAAGAAAGGTGCATTAGAAGAACTATAATGATTAAAAAAATCTTTAAATAATTTGTATGTATATTCAATGGTTTTTGTGTGAAGTGTTCTAAAGAGATGTCCATTAAGCCTGTTTGGTCTAGCCCCTCTGTAGGGTAAGTGAAAAAGTATCAGGCTTTTCTGCCCTCCCGCCATTAGGATTGATGATGGATCCCTGTGGTCCTGAATGCATGCCTGATGGTGGGCACCTGGAGTAGGGTGTGGGCATGCATAAGTGGGTACACCTGGTCTAAGACTGGGCCTATAAGGGCGGCGTCATGGGGATGCCAGAAGAGCAGAGAAGCAGAGCAGAGAGCAGAAGAGAACGAAAGAGCAAAAGGAGCAGAGAAAAAAAGGCTATGAGAAAACGCTGGAGAGTCTAGATAGAGTGAAGACTGGCTGGGGGCTTCCAGCCCCTCAGTACCCCTTCCTGCTATGTACCTGGTAAATCTTAATAAAAGCCTGCAAAAGCCACTGAGGGCTCCAGGACTCCTTTACCCTGTCTGCTCGGATCATGGAAAACCTGCTCTGGCCCTGTGTCATCCTGCCCCTTACACCGTCATTTAAGGCTCTCTCTTTTTTATTCACAATTTTGTTGGTCTGTCCATAGTTAAAAGTGGAGGCCTTTTATAGTTCCTTTGTATATAAGGCACATTGAAGATTGTTTACCTCTGTTTTCACTGAACCTCAGCTGGGGTCATTTGAATGATTGGGTGTGGTTGGAACAGCCAAAAACAAAACAAAAAACAACTGGCATTTTAATAATCAGATCTTGATTTTTAGAAGAAATGTGCATTCACAAAATGTATCTTGAATTCTTACTAGTTTTTGTGGTCAGTCTGTGAACTGCAGCTTTTGTTTTTTTCCTTGTTAAGATTCATTTGAGGATAAAGGAGAATGGGTGTTTATATCCTCACTGTGTTTATATCCTCACTGTTTCCCCCACTGTGCTTTGAATATTAGTTTAATTAGCTATGTTTGTATAGACTTGCTGAAGGCAGGGATTAAATCTTTTCACCTATATAGTTGCAGTATTTGATGCAGTCATTTTTGAAGTACTTGTCTCATGCATTGATGTTTTTCAGTCTTTAGGCTGAGTCTTTAGAGTATTGCTTATGAAACAGAAAGCTAAAACTACTCCTGATGAGCCAAGTCCTCATTTTTGAAATTTAAGCTCAGACTAATGTTGACTCTTATGACAATTCTTGGTTCAAGACATGAATTGCTAGAAACTGAGAATCTATATTTAATGTTTGATTTCTTTATGAAATCCTTTGTCCTTTGCTGGAAAGCCTTTATCCTTTATCCAATAACCTTGCTTCATAAGCAGTATTTTTTGAGTACTTGAGTGAGAACGTCAAAAACCACGTACTGATGTATTCCCTTATTTTCTTAAAGGAGTTTATATGACAAAATATATATAAGAAGATATGTGACATTTTCAGGAAGTAAAAAGAAGTCAGTAGAGTCATATAGAAATTAAGAACCATAGAAGTTTAAGAGTATGGGAGAGGTTGTCTCTGGTTGTAGATTATTATTACCTGATTTGAAGAAGAGGTATAGGGCAGCCTTTTGAAGAGGAGAACTGGGATAAACATTGAGGGGGTAGTCTAATTGGGAAAATAGCCAACAACTCTGTAACTTATGAGGGAACTTGACTACCTTCTGTGTATCATAATGTGTTTTTGAATAAGACTTTAGGAGAAAGTTTAGGAGGTTTTTAGTGATATTCAGATGACTGTTAGAGTTGTCATCCCTCTCATTTTCTTGTTGGGGTTTGAATTGCTGTAATAACATCCAGTTACTTGAAGAAATTGCAAGGTAATAGCTGCTCATTTTGTATATAAGCTATCATGCATTTAGTGGTATTATATTTAATTATGAAGTTAAGTTGGATACTTGAAATGCTTCAAGTAATATTTTAAAATTTTCGCCCCTGCCTCTTAAATAAAAATAATTAAACTAATGAAGATTGCACAAATTTCTGAATATAGAAACCACTGAATAATACACTTTAAAATGGTGAAATTTATGTTATGTGCATTTTATCTTTTTTTTAAGATTTATTTATTTTTGCAAGAACCGGAGTACAGGCCAGATGTGTGGGAGGGTGAGAGGATTCACCAGAGCAGGGAACAGAACAGGCTGACTGACAAAATACGCTGCTGAGGGGAGCAGCGGGCGCGACAGGAGGGGTCTGCAGCGCCATGTGGAACCCTCGCCAGCTGGCCGGGATCGAACCGGCATTGCAGAGGCTGCGGGCAGCTTCGCAACCCAGCTCTCAACCACTCAACCACTGAGTGACTGGGGAGGCCCTGCTTCTCTTTTACTCTCTTTTTCGCTCTCGTTCTCTCTGCTTCTCTGCTCTTGTTCTTCTG